TATAACATTTGCATTCAATCTTAACACTTATAAGTGAGGTATGCTGTTGTTTTTTGATTTGTATTCTCCCTTGTGTTATTGTTTCATTAATATAAGAAGTGTGAATTTTCACTGTCGAGTGTTTTCACTCTGTTACATATTGACCATTATTTTCAGTGTTTAGGCCCCTTTAGAGCATTTCCTGCAGGGCAGGTCTAATGCAGACAAATTCTTTTAGAGTTTGTTTGTTGGGGAAAGATTTTATTTCTCTTTCACTTATGAAACTTAGTTTTGAAAATTCTTGGGTGACAGTTGTTCTGTTTAACCACTTCGATATGAGCATCAACTATAGTCGACAGCCACAGATGAACGCACACAGTGACTTTAGCCAACAGCCATGATATGACTTTTTTAATTTTTCATTTATCAAAATAAAATTGTGAACATTTAAAAATAACGTAATGAAAACATATATGTATATGTTACCTATTCTGATTTACATTACAAGTAAAGCTGCCTGTAAAGTAAAACAAGCTTTCAGTGCTTTAAAGCTTTCCTCATCACATAAGATCAAAACGGATTAGTCGTCAATGCACAGCACAAACTATCGTGTGGACTACGAGTGCCGGCTGTGGGCGAGGTTTCGCGGCCGGTGAGCACTGTACCGAAGTGGTTAAAGATACTAAAGATAGCACTCCTTCTAGGTTTAAGGTTTCTGCTGATACGTTTGCTATTAGTTGGATGGGTTTTTCTTTGTAAATTACTTGATGCTTTTGTCAGTCAACTTGTAGGATTTTATCATTCACTCAACTTTGGCCAGATGGATGACTATGTCCCCTGGTAATTTCCTATTTACCATAAATCTTCAAGGAGTTCATTGACCATGTTCTGGATTTCTAACTCTCTTGCAAGACCAGGGAAATTTTCCTCCATTATTCTCTTAGACAGACTTCCCATGCCTTTTGCTTTTTCTTACCTATGATTGCTATGTTTGGGCATTTTACAGAATCACGTATTTCTAAGAGACCTTCTTTTCTCTTGATTCGTTTTTCAACATTTTTGACTAGCTGGGTTAATTTGAAGGCCTTTTCTTTAAGCTCTGAAATTCTTTCTAGTGGTTGGTCTAGTCTGTCCTTAAAACCAGCCACTGTATTTTTTCCTTTTTTCCATTTCGAAATATTAAGGAGATACAAATGTTGTTACTTAGATACCTTATATAATGCTTAAATTGAGGCTTATAGTGTGTCCATACCAGAATATTGTTCATTGTACCCGATAGGGAGATTTTTACCCCTTTCCACTGTATTTTGAAATCCCCTAATAAGTTATTCATTTCCAGGAGGTCTGTCATGTGTTTTTTAAAGCTATCTATCTCTTTGGTGAATTTTTCAGTCATGTTCTGAATTATTGTTTTGGTTTTTACAGGTTGGTTTTTTACTTATTTATCAATCCTATTAAACATACTTGTGCTACATATTTTGAATTCCATATTAGAAACTTCAAGTTTCCTTTTGGTTGGAATCCATTGCTAGAAATCTGGTGTGATCCTTTGGGAGTGTCGAAGGAGGCTGTTTTTTCACATTGCCAGCATTCTTATGCTGCTTCCTTCTCATCTACAATCTCTTCTGTCAGCTCAAAGCAGATAGCTTTGCAATACACCTGATCTCTGCTGAAAATTCTGTTGCTCAGTATAGAGAGGAAGTGCACTGCTTTTTTGGCTCATGTTGGTAGATACGCACTGAGGTGTTAGTTGCAATTTGGATCAGTTGGAACTCAGACCCCTGAGAAGGTGTCGAGGTGCCAGTGGTAGTGAAGTAGATTAGGTAATCTCCAGTTCCCATGCCCCTGGACTGTGTGCTTCAGTCCTGCTCCAAATGCTCAGATGGGAGGGGCAGATATATTGTGAGCCTGTAACACTGGTGCACTCCTGCATTGCCCTGTTCTGTGGATCTCACAGTCCAAACAGGTGCTGGGGGATGCTCATGTGCAATGGTGAGCTTGTCCGTAGGCCACTGCTGAAGGTTTGGGTGGAAACAGAACGGGTCCCTCTCTGAGGTGACAATGGAATTGGGAGGCTGTGCAGGTTTGCTGAGTCTGGATCCTCTGTCAGGAGCAGCAACAGCACCAGGGTAGATCATGTGGTGAAAACACTGGGGGTTTGTAGCCATGGGGATTTGCTTCCCCAAGCACCCCCCTCCATCCCCATGACAATGGCAGCAACAGTGGTCCTATTTCCCAGGGTGAGCATGACCAGACAATAGGGAGCAATTGTCTCCATGGCCTGGCAGCAATGAGGAGATACCAGCAGAAGAGCTGGCCTCTGGACAGATGAAGCACTCTGGGACTGGGATCCCAGAATGGCAACACTCACAGTGCTCAGGGCTCAGCAGACTGTAGGACACTGCTGTCCCACCTCTCTGAAGCAGTGCTGCTGTGCAGTCTCCAGGCAGCTCCCTGGGTTTATCAGGAGGCCCGAGGGAGTGGAGGAGCCATCTTGCAGCTCAGATGGGAAAGTCCACAGGGGAAGTGTGGAGCCCTGGAGATCTCCTACCTGCCCCTTCCTGTGAGAGCACCACCACCCTGGCCATTGCCAGCCCAGCCACGTGGGTTGCCTTACTTCCTGCTCCTTTGCTTGCTGTCATTTCTGTATTGAATCCCACTGCTCTCAGAGGATCCAGTCAAAGGTGAATATCTACCTGCCATTTTCAATCCTACGAGAGCAGGCTGTGGCAGCTGCCTCAGGTCCACCATCTTGGCCCCTCTCAACAAATCACTTTTTCTCCTTGAGACAGGGTCTCACTATGTGGCCCAGGATGATTTCTAACTCCTGGCCTCAAACAATCCTCCTACCTCAGCTCCCCAGGGAGGTGGGATGACAGATGTCTACCACCTAACCCAGCTTGAATTTATTAAAGGAAAATGTATTTATTAAGTATTTTTGGATGAAAACAAATCTATTAAGTGCCAGTTTTCATAGTACAAGTAACACAAACATCTAGATTTCCTGAAAGAGTCTCACTCTGAATACAAGTATCAGTCACTGGGAGGAGGCAGAATGTTCTCCAAGTATTGAGCAACAATAATTATATCGTTGGCTGGGTGTGGTGGCTCACACCTGCAATCCTAGCTACCTGGGAGGCCGAGGCAGGAGGACTGCTCAAGGTCAGGAGTTTGAGACCAGCCTGAGCAGGAGCAAGACCCCGTCTCTACTAAAAAAATAGAAACAAATTAGCCAAACTAAAACAATATACAGAAAAAATTAGCCAGGCATGGTGGCACATGCCTGTAGTCCCACCTACATGACAGGCTGAGGCAGGATTGCTTGAGCCCAGGAGTTTGAGGTTGCTGTGAGCTAGGCTGACACCATGGCACTCTAGCCCGAGCAACAGAGTGAGACTCTGTCTCTAAATAAATGAATAATTATATCTTTGTCACAAAGTAGTAGTTGAAATCTAGGGAATTTTTACTCTTACCATTTTAGTTACCTCTCTAGATGCTGATTAACCTCCACACATTTTATTTTCAAGCATCTGGTCTTAGATAATGCCCACATTAAGAAATCTCAGCTCACCATCTTGTACTGTCCAAATTCTTTGACTAAACCAAAGACTTTAAGGGGCATTGTTTTTCATATTTATAGAGAAATTAGTTTTTACCTGCCATTGTCCTATGTGCATGCTCATGTCACAAAATCTGTCTCCAAACAGCACCCTCATTTACAAACTCCTTAAATATTTCACTAGAGTAATAAAAATGTATTAAACATACATGCCAGCATAAAATGTATGAAAGAGGAAAAAAAATGACAAAAAAAATATACAAAACCAGAAAATTTTATTAGACTTGAAAATGAACCATCGTATATATTGTTTAACACCATAATCTGAAAATGACATTTACATAATTTTATAAAAATTCTTTTAGTAAAATTCCTTAATCATATTTATTATATAACAAATGCTTTTGACATAATTTTCTTTCTACTGTAAAAAATGTTTTAGACAACTAACCAGTATTTCACAAACATTTTAAAGTCACATTGTGTGCTGGGACTTACATGTGCAGCCACGGAATGTAGTGAGCTATGAGCATGACAAAACTGGGGTCTTTCCTGACCAAGTCAGATTTCAAGAAAACTCAGTGTTACCTTAAAAATCAGACTACATTGTGTGACATTGAATACTAATAGCCTTTTACACCTCTGCATTCCTTCTTCCTGTTCTGCCCACCTGGTTAAGCCAACAATGCCTGAGTGCTCCTCCCTCCTTTGGCAGCAGCTGGAAGTCAAACCCCATGTGGGTACTTGGCCTCCATCCACCCTTTAACAGTCTTAGTACCCCAGCCAGTCACGTATCCTATGATTTTGAAGCCATTTTTGGACCTGCTGTGGAAGACTATTCTGCTTTCCTCAGAAAGCCTCACTGTGCAATAAAAATTCTCATGCCTTGCCTTCATCAGCATATAGCATCATTCCGCAATAT